TCTTCTGATGGCACTTCGTGTGCAAAGAAAGTCGTTTGGTGGGTTATTCTTATTGGCGTTTTTCTCATCATTCTTGTACTATTTGTTGTGTTTATGGTGACTATATTTATCACGTTGAAAATCATCAAAAGAAAGAAAGAACACGAAGAAAGGAAGAAGACGTGTCTTTTTACTATCAGCAAATCAAACATCACTTTTGAGAAAACTGATATACCCGATGTTGTTGTTAATATCAATGCAATTGTGTTTGAAAACAACGAAGACGATAAAGAAATATCAGTGAATGAAGAGAGTCGTGAACTCATATGTGTTGGTAATAGTGGCAACAACACAATTAAAGTCCAATTTTCAACAAAAGAGAATTGCTACAAATACACAATTCGAACTTCACCAAATATAGCAACAATACCAAAAGGTAAAGCAATCGAATTTGAAGTGTTTCTGAAACCATTGTGCAGTTGTCAAATTGATGACATCATTGTCTTAATTTCTTCCAATTTGAAGAAAGGTGAAATTTCAAATATGCACATTAGTATCAAAGCAAAAACACAACTTTCGACACAACTTGATCCTGATGAATTGGAAGAAGATAAGAAGCTTGGCGAAGGCTCGTTTGGTATTGTTTATAAAGGCACATTCAGAAGCAACACCGTTGCTATCAAGAAGATGAAACAGTTCACAGATGACCAAAAGTCGCTTGACGAATTTGAGAAGGAAGTAGACATGTTGGACAAATTCAGATGCGATTATATTGTCCATTTTTATGGCGCTGTGTTTATGACAAACAAAATTTGTTTGGTCACCGAATTTGCAGAATATGGGAGTTTACAAGACTTGATGAAACACAAACAATCAAGTGAAGTTGACATGCAAACTCGACTTAAAATGATGTTGGACTCTGCAAACGGGATTGTGTATTTGCACATAAATGGGATATTACACAGAGACATCAAACCAGACAACTTTCTTGTGTTTTCGTTGAATAAAAAAGACAAAGTCAACGCAAAACTGACCGATTTTGGAAGTGCAAGAAATGTCAATTTATTGACAACTAACATGACATTCACAAAAGGTGTTGGCACACCAAAGTATATGGCGCCTGAAATACTCAACAGGGAGAAATACAAGAAAGAGGCGGACGTCTATTCATTTGCTGTAACAATGTTTGAGTGTTTCAAATGGGGTGAAATATACCCCAAAAAGGATTTCCAATTTGCTTGGTCAATTGCAGACTTTGTATCTGCTGGGAAACGAGTCCAAAGAGATAAAAATATTCCAGAACCCTATTTTGAAATCATCAAACAGTGTTGGACTCAAAAGAAGCGTGACCGTGTTCCTATTGAATCAGTTGTCGAAATGCTAAATAACGAAATGATAAAATAAATGATGATGCAATTTTAGGTTTGTAAGCACAACCAGGCGTATTAATTTTTTTGTTTTAAAAAACAGGGAGCTGGTGTTAACTTATTCCCAAAAACACTTTTTTTAAAAAAAACATTCTATAAAATAAGACTGAAGCATTTTTGGAATTCTGCATTCATCGTGTAAATTTTGGTAAACGCCTGGTTGTGTTTGTAAGTTATATTATTTTTATAATAAAAGTTGGTGTTTTTTCTGCAATATTAAAAGATGGTGTTAACTTACATACATTTACAATAATTGTAAACTCTGTATGAATACAGATTCAATAATAAACGAAAAATTTTAAATTCAATATATTTAAATAAGATAAAATAATTTTAATATTGATTGTATTATTTTGTACTTCAATTATTTTTGTTTTAGAATTAATTAATAAAAAAATTAATAATTAACGTTTCCACTTTTAGCACCCTGTAAAGCTCTCCCAAGTTGTTCATCATATAATGCATTGTTACTAATCTGTCTGTTCATTGATGGATTTAGATCGATAAAGGAACGTGAAGCCGTTGGAGTTCGAACTAGTTGTTGATTGAGCTTTTGAATTAACATTTTTGTTGTTTTCTTGAATTATTTTACGTGTATTGTTGTTCTGAAGCGTTCGATCTTGTTCAAATTGTCTGCAAGATTATAGTTTGCAACAAGAATGAGTTTAAGAGCATCAAAATGAGGAGGATTTATTTTGACTACATTGAAATCGTTTGATTCTCTGTCTAAAGTTAAAGAAACTGATGTAGCAAAATTAAGTACTTGAAAATATTTTTTCAAATAATTGTCTTGACCCATAACAGAAGATATTTTTTGACACATTTTGGAAACTATTCCAATTGAAAAAAGATTGGATTCAGAAGCTACTCTGATTAAATCAAATATTTTGTTTTTGTTTTGAATGATCATTTTTAAGTGTGATAGATAAATAGGTGGCACAATTTGTTATTCGCTTTTAAGAAAATTGAATAATTTTTCCAATCGTGTAATCAATTCATTTGCTTCAATTTTATATTTATTGATATGTGTTAAAGACTGTAGAAGCTCGTTTTGCGAAGACTATAATAGTAATAAACACAAGAAGAACAACATTTTGATCAACTATTTTAACTAGATTTTTTTTTTCAAAAATAATTGAATTATCAATAAAACTCGAATTTGACTAATTCACAATAAGTATATTCCAAAATGGATTTAATATTGATTTTAAAATGTAAATTTGTCATCAAACATTGATGCATTTAATCAAAAATTTAAAAACACTCTAAATTTGTAATGAAAACTAAAACATGTTTATTATTCCCTTTATTAAAAATAATCCATTTACAGTCATGCGAAAAAGCTGTCGCGTTTGGAAAAACCTGTCTCGGGTGGTAATGAACTATTCTAGTACTATAAACAAATGATCTGAAATAGAAAATGTTATTTGGAAATGCCGAATATTTTTATTCGATTTTTGTGAAATGACCCTGCAAATAAATCGAATAGAAGCTATACTGTATAGTAAGTAATTATAAATTTACTATAAAATATTTTCAAG